CTGGGAGGGAACTGGGAGCGCTTTCCCTCCCAGCACCGCCCTTACTGGGAGCACTGGGAGGGAACTGGGAGCGCTGGGAGGGAACTGGGAGCGCTTTCCCTCCCAGCTCCGCCCTTACTGGGAGCACTGGGAGGAAACTGGGAGCGCTGGGAGGGAACTGGGAGCGCTCTCCCTCCCAACATCGCTCTTACTGGGAGCACTGGGAGGGAACTGGGATCGAACCGCGCCCGGAGGCGGCAGTGGGCGGGGCCGGGGGCGAGGGGCGGGACTATGCAAATCAGAGAGTCATCGCGCGCTGGGATTGGTGGGCGGGAGCAGCGCGGGGTTTGCCCGGTCACGTGAGGGGCGGGACGGGGTCGGAGCGATGGCGGCGGCGTCCGGTGAGGGGACCGGGAACGGGGACCGGGAACCGGGAACGGGGACAGGGAATGGGGACCGGGAATGGGGACCGGGAATGGGGACAGGGACCGGGAACGGGGACCGGGAACGGGGACCGGGAATGGGGACGGGAACGGGGACAGGGACCGGGAACGGGGACCGGGAATGGGGAGCGGGAATGGGGACCGGGAATGGGGACGGGGAACGGGGACGGGGAACGGGGACGGGGAACGGGGACAGGGACCGGGAATGGGGACCGGGAATGGGGACCGGGAATGGGGACAGGGAACGGGAATGGGGACCGGGAACGGGGAGCGGGGACCGGGAATGGGGACCGGGAACGGGGACCGGGAATGGGAATGGGACCGGGAATGGGGACCGGGAATGGGGAGCGGGACAGGGACCGGGAATGGGGACCGGGAATGGGAATAGGACCGGGAATGGGGACAGGGAACGAGGACGGGGAATCGGGACCGGGAATGGGGACCGGGAACGGGGACAGGGACCGTCAATGAGAACGGGACAAGCGGGACACGAGGTCGGGATTACCGGGAACCGGCCGGGGTAGGGTTAATGGGTCCGGGGGATACCGGAACGGCGGGAGGGGAACACGGGGACAGCGGTGACACCGGGCACAGCGGGTC